AGAAGGTTGAGGCGGAGCAGGCACCGGAGGGTATACGATGATATCCCTCCTTTGCTCTCGCGTACAGCTGAGCAGGTTGTTGAAAAGCCTTCGTAGGAAAGATGTCTTCCGCTCGTCCATGGTAGCTACACTCTCGACTGTGTGCTTGGCATGTTCCAAGCCATCAACCTAATTGAAATAATTAGAATATGCAATAAATTAATCTAATCTAGTTATTTGCCATGACTCAAACCTAAGCATGTAATCTAGGGACAAAAACATAAGAATATGACGAAGATTAAGAATTGGAAACACTTACCACCGCTCCCCACACAGCACCTTGCTTTGACATCCATCTAAGTGTGAATTTCCGATACCACACCATGTATCCATCGTGGTACCCCATTGGCCTCGTCTCCGGTAAACCTTGGACAGCCCAAGTCGTTCTATTCTCCCAAATGTTGATGTAGAACTCATGCTTGCGGATCCAATTCTTTGATTTGTGTCGTAGGTCGATGGCATGGAGCTCTTTAAACCCTTGAGGTGGGGATGCTGGAATTGGTTGCTCCATCTGATACTGCCTCACTGCTCAATCCGGCAGGTGCCACTCCACCATGTGCCAACAGATCAAGTGCACCTTTCACAACAACGTCTCTACTTCCTGGGGGTGTCTAAGACGATGAATCTCGACGACTTTTTACCTGGTTCCACCAAGGCTTATCAAACTTAGCACGATAAAACAGTAAGGAGTGCTCGACCTGGTGTTCTTTTGTATTTGCTCCGATCCACCTTATTAAGAAAAATTACTTATATAAGATATTTTAAAAGAATCTAAATTCACTAAATTGCATAATTTGATTGTATCTAAATTCACTAAAATACTAAAATTGCATACATGGATTGTATCTAAATTCACTAAAAAACTAAAGTTGCATACTTGGATTGTATCTAAATTCACTAAAATAACTAAATTCTCTAAATTCACTAAAATACTAAAATTGCATATTTGGAATAAAATTAGCATGTAAATTAATCTTACTTGACACCATAGGGGGGATTTGCTAGAAAGCGTAGCTCCTCATCTGGACCCCAAAAATCCTGCGAGTCTCGGGGAGCGAACATTGGAAGATGCTTTCATGCCAAGAGTTGGAGTATGAACATCGCACCTCCAGCTTGTTTTGCTCCCAACCTCGAGCAAGTGCACAGCTCTCGGTAGATCCCAGCCAATACGGTCGACCCCCAACTCTTTCCCCCGATCTCGTCCCAATCACTGAGGAGCAACGGCAACCACATGCCTTGAATCCACCGGTTTGCCTTGTCGGGGAACAGAAATCCACCAACCAATCCAATGAGGTAGACGCGTGCATATCGCTCCACCTGATCTTCGGGGGTGTCTGGCCCTAAATTCACTTCCTGTTGGATGTGTTCAACAAGCCACGGGATTGAAACTTGCCCGCATTGAGCGGTGGATGCCCAACCCCTTGAACGGGCGTTGTGGTCGGCATGTTGAACTCGAAATGCTCGAGAATCAACGGCCCCCAACCACCTTCAGGTTTACTTGAGTTGCCGATGATGGCCTCTCCAGTGACCGGCAGCCCGGTGAGTAGGGCAACATCTCTGAGGGTGATCGTTATTTCCCCCTCGGGAAAGTGGAAGGTATGCACTTCGGGGCGCCATCGCTCTGCCATTGCCGTAAGCATATCGTTGTCGATATCAAGCCGCATGAAATGCATCAGCATGTGCAATCCCGTCCTCTCTAGATAGGGCTCGAGACGAGGATGCCAATTAGGCAATCGACATGTCCCTCGATGACTGATGGGAATAAGTGATTCCTACAAAACAAAAAATACAATGTTGTTAAAAAAACATAAACTTTTAACCTATTGAAATAATTTAAAAATTTATACGATACAGACAGAGTGTCTACCGGATTATTGTCCCAAATTGCACGGGAGCAATGTTGTTCTTGCTCGTTTAAATATTTGCGATCCCTTGGGCCAGGATCGATATACAAACGAGGGTCGTATATCTCAGCACCCATCTATAAACAAATATGAAATGAAATAAGAAGATTTCAAACCCATTTAAAAAAACATCAACAAAGGTGAAATTTTTTTTCGTACTCTCAGAGCCTCTTCGTCCATTTTTTGCCGAAAAGCTGGAGAGAGTATCGACGACACTTTAGAGCAAAAGATTAAAATAAAAACTCTAGTAATTCTTTCTGATGTGGAAGATCAGACTTAGCCGCAACCACAGAGCATACTTAGAACGATACTAGAGGGAAGTAATGGAGGGAGAAAGAAGTATAAAAGTGGTGGTGTGAGTTGGAATGGGGGGATGGTGTGGTATTTATAAGGAGGACCACAGAGCATTCACCGCTCTGGTCCACGACGGTGAAGCCTTCCCCGTGATTCTCGAGGGCGGTGAACTGCTCGGATCGCTGACGTGGGGTTGTTTGAGGCGTCGGATCTGGGAGAAAAACTAGAATCCGCGCCTCACCGCATCTGACGGTGACAGTGAAGCGCGCGAGTGGCGCAGATCGATGACGTGGACAGGGCGGGCTATCACCGCTTTTGTCAAAACGGTGAAGTGCCCGCGCGTGTCCACATCAGCGATCCGCGCCACTTCACCGTTTTGCACCACAGCGGTGAAGCATTCACCATTTTAGTAAAAAACGGTGAAGTGTTCACTGTTCACCGTTTTGGACAAAAGCGGTGATGGTTTCCCCGCCTTTGTCAAAAACGGTGAACCCTTCACCATTTTTGTTTGCAGCGGTGATGATATTCACTGTCTTGGTCCGCAGCGGTGAACCCCAAACTACTGTATTTTGGGAAATATTTTCATAAGTACTGTATTTTGAGAATTTTTTTTACTAACTAGTGTATTCTGAGATTTTTTCCGGTTTTTGCTATGTTCTACTTCACTTAGGTTTTGGCTCTATTCTTCATCCTTTTCCATGATATGGCCTTCGGGCTTACCGCTGAGTTTAGATTCTTGACAAATTATAGATGATAAGTGATTGATTTCTCGGTCTATATAGTTCTGGATTCCAAATTTGAGTTCATAATATATCAATATATGTGGAAATTGTAAATATTTAAATTTTATTATTTTAATGGCCACGTCACTCATTTAATGATCAACTATAATAGTTGACTGCCACATCAGCAAAATCTAACGGAGACTAACGGAGAGTGACCAAATTTGAACTATTGAACTAATCTTAGTGACTATAAATAGAATTAAATATTTTCAGTGACCAAACATGAACGTTTTTAGTAAACCCAGTGACCAACCTTGCAATTAACCCGATTTTATAGCGAAATCAGAATCAAAATATGTAAGTAAAGTCGTAAAAGCGTAGAATTTTAGAATTTAAATTGGGATTTTGACTACTTTGGGGATTTTGACTACTCTGCCTCGACATTCCATGGAAGAGACTTCCAGCCTCTGCCAAGATCTACATCAATATCATCAACTAACCAGGTGTAAGGAATCAATGTGGCCTACTTGGAGCAGGAATTCAGTGGCCATGGAGTCAGTTTTCAAACCCTTGAGGAAACCTGCTGTGTGAGCAAAATGAGGAATGGCAGCACTGCAACTTTCTTGCTTCCTAGTGGCTTAATCACTTCATGTAAAGCTAAAATGTGGCATGGTGTGACCATGGAGCTGCTCCAGACATCTGTGGTCTATTCTTCTTCTTCTGCTACATCAAGAGGAGGAGAAGATAGGTGTTCTGATTCAAGGAGGGGTTTCTTTGGCTCTCAACATCAACATCTTTGGCTGTGAGACTTCATGGTCTCTAAAGATTTGGGCTATTAGTGATGTTAGAGGGGGATTCCAGTGACTGCATTAAGGTTTGTCTCACAACTTCTGAAATCAATTTGAGGGCATGAATTAGGTGCTATTTGCATCTTACTTGAGGAATGAAGCATGAAAAAGGTTATAAAAAAAAAAATACTGGCTATTTTCTACCTTACATGTATTCTTTTCTCGATGCAATGTTTGACATTTGACAATATGTAATCCTTAGGCAATCAAAAATTATTAAAACGTTATAAACTTCACTTCACTTTGAAAACACATGAAAACTCCTTGGAAAACAGGTTGAACTGGTGGAGAAAATGGTTGAGATCAGATACACAATAACCATGAGCATGTTGAGCTCCCAGCTCACAGTCTCAAACTCTTCATCTCCCATCCTGATGAAAGGCTCCATCCTAAGCCATTTAACAGTGAGCACCTCAGAAGCAACGTCTGCCTGTGGATTAGAAGGTTCCAACTTCTTCTCCGGGCCAATGTTGATGTCGGACTTCTCTATTGTCCTACCTCCTCGATCCTCCGTTTCAACTCGGCCAAGAGAGTAGAGACCTATGGGCCTGAAGGAGAAGAAGGAATCAGAAGGCAGTGGAAGGAGGAGAAGAGGAAATGGAAGGTGAAGAAATTAAAAAGTGATACCCACAAGAAACTGACTGAGCAAATGTGCACCAATGCACCAAGGAACTTCACACTCATTGATAGGGGTACCATGCAGGTGAAGAATTTGCTGAATCCAGGTAGAGTGCTTGGCAAGAAATCTTATTTTGTTTGTGGTTTTTGGTTTGCAGGGAAGGAGGAACTCAGTGGAGATTGGAAGGAAAGGGTTCAACGAGATGTATATGTACAGTCCAGGGTCGAGGCATGAGAACTATGAGATGTATTCTTGCAACAGTGTGGGACAATCTGCCATGCTTAAGCCTCTGGTGCTTGCTCCTGGACAAGTTTGGAGAGGCTGCCGGCATTTACATAACCCTAATCTTTGAAAAAATAATCAAACAACCGGATCCTAGTTGAGGACGCCTACCCGTTTGAAGTGATAGACAGAGCATGGCAAAAAAACTGATTACTTCGGTTGGTCCAAGTACGGTGTTAGAGTACCGCAAGACATGATTGGCTCCTCCGCCACCATGTGGAACAAGCTCGACATGTTCAAATGAGAAACCATGATGGAAAGCTGCGGCAGAGCCTCGAGGAGAAAGAGCATGGAGCTGGTCGCTTGCAGGAAGGAACTGGAATGGAGCAAGAGGATGGAGTCTGTTTCCAGCGCGGAAGAGAGGAACAACAAGGTGGAGACGTTGGAGAATCAACTTGCTTCCCTTTTACCAGAAGGAGGTTTTTTTGCTTCTGAAATTGTAGCAGCACCAGCACAGGCTCTAACCATACAGCGTCACAAGGGAACACAATCGGCACAATCCTACTATATAGGAACGCAATAAAACGATAAAGATGATGGTTGATTCAACAAAATAAATAGTGCTCCATTAAATTTGTTTGATAACATTAACATGTTCTTACTGTACAATACGTTGTGATTTATAATTAGTTAATTACTTCAATTTATACGTACAAATTAAGACAATAGTTATAATCCATCCAGTTTATACATTATTGAACTTATCTGAAGGAGATTATAAGCATGTAATAAGATGGATCGTATTAATGTAGGTCGTAGGACGATTTAAGTTGGGGGGAAAATCTAATATGGACGAAATTTCATTAGAACTGTGTTTGAATATTAATTATTGGTCAGCCAATTGATGAAACAATGGTCGGTGTAGTACAAATATCCTCTGCTAGATTGACATTTAAGTTTCTGATGACACCTGAATTAGTAAGACTGTCTGCAAAGAAGAGCATACCTTTCTTTTTGTTAGAAACTGTTCACCTGAGATCAGTAACAAAGTCGAATCTGATTTGGGAATCTGTAATTCTAAAACAAGCAGAAAATGGAAACAGAATGGTGGTTTAAACAGAACATAGCGTTACACAACTGAGACTACAACAACAATCAAAAGCAAAAACGTACTATTGGATTCTGACGCACAAACTAACACCTAAGTTGGAGGAAGGAAATGACCTTGTTCAGAACCATCAAACAACATCGCCAACGATGCCAAGCCTGAAAACACAGCTACACCAAACGCAACAAGCCACCCACAACTCTTCTTATTCTGGTATCCTTTCTCAAAGCAATCACTTTCCGGGTCGGTTTTCTTCTCTGCAACCACCAGTTCTGCAACTTGATCTGCATCTACAGTGGCAGCATCCTCTGTTGAAGAAACAGATTCATCCACATCCTCATACATGTCCTCACCACCACCACCATACGACTCTCCATTCTCATCAGATGCATAACCATTGTTATGGTGCAGAAACCCATTTTGGTTGAGCTTTGAAGTAGGATCGGCATCCTGATACAACCCCTCACCACCAGCATACGACTCACCTTTCTTATCAGATGCATAACCGTTGTTATGGCCGAGAAATTCATTTTGACTGAGCTTTGAAGTTGGGCTGTTTTCGTGTTGGCATGAACACGGCCCTCTGAACCTCCTACCTTGTCTCGAGTAGGAATTTGAATCGGCATCTTGGAGAGAGCGTATGAGGTTCCTTGGACTCGTGAACATGTTGATGTTGTCAACGTTCAGGTGAGAACGTGGTGACCTCTGAATGATATTGACAAAAAATAATGCCGATTAGAACTGGGAAGCAATCAAATAATCATATCAAAAGTTCCCAGCGTACTGAAGGTCAGTCACAAAGCAATTAAACGCAATCATGAACAATTTTGAAGATTTGTGGCATCATCAAGTATAGCATGATGAAACTGTGAAATTAGGAGTGCAGCAAGTTACCTGGGGACTTGGAGTGCAGCTCCTCGCCACTACATTTTGTGGAGTCCTTGGCAAGAAGCCTGAGAATTCCCCTTCGTGATGATCCCCATTCTCAGTCGAGCTATGGCGCCTAGCATGACCAGAAGATGCATTCTTGATGGCACTATTTCCTCGAGCAAGTTCTGAAAATAAACCATCTTTCAGAGACACATCAACTCCTCCATTCTCATGACTCCACAGTTTACGAGTCACACTCCTGCTGTCAAACTCACTCCCACCACAGTCATACTCCAGGACACGAGTTGTCGGAGTTCTTGACAGTGGTGAACCAATCATGGATTCGTAGTCCATGAACGAGCCAAGTGTCTGAGATTCTGGCGTACTAGACAAATTCCCCCTTCTTCTATGATCTTTCCTGCTCAAGTTGTTAGACCCTGTGACAGAACCAGAACCAGAACTCTTGTCGAACTTCAACCCCTCATCTGCAATCTTCTTAGCAGTCTGCATAGCTTCAAAGGCAGCGCCTTTCACATAAGCCATCTGATCAAATTGACACTTTTCCATCTCCTCTATAATCAAACCAAGGGTGGAGACTATGCTTCTGGCATCCAAACACTTCATCATGAAATTCACCATCTGAATTGCTGAAAGCCTCTTCTGTGAATTGCTACCACAGTCTTGGTAACCTGAATTCAGGATTCTCAATCCTGACTGAATCAACAATCTAGCATATGCTTCAACAATCAAAGCATTACGCTTCGACAAAGACATTACTAAAGCCATATGGGAATTAGACTGTGTTGACTTCTCTTCAAGAGCAACAGCCACATTCTGGCAAACTTTGTTCACCATCTCATCAGAGGCGAATCTCCAGTTGTCACAGTCAACAAGTGCCTTCAAGCAAAGGGCAGCTCCTGAACTAAGGCACTCCTGAGTAGCCAATAAAGCTTCAACAAGTGGCTTGCAGAGGGAATGTATTATACGCCTCTTCTCTTCTTCACGAGTACCAGGTTCGATACCATATCGAGCAATGGCAGGGACCACTTTGGAGCAGGCTTGTTGGAGAGGGAAAGACACCCCACTCGCTGACAGTGTGTTGATGACTGTGGTCATTATGGTGTCTATGAGAGGGACGATTCTGGGTCCGTGAACTCGGGCGAGGACTTCATAGAGGGAGATGGTGTATTCTCCAGATAAAGAACCGGTTTCTTTGGTCTCCGAAACCTGGGCGAGAAACAGCGGGATTGCCCTTGCGTCCATGTCTTTGACATAAGATTTCAACGCCTTCATTGCTGATTTCCGACTATCAGCATCTTTGTCGAGATTTGCCAACTCTCTCTTGAAAATTGGGGCCAGGCTTGCACCACCAACCATTGCCGGACCTGGATCCCAAAAGGAAACATAATCAACAAACCTGTCATAAAGCGTTTCAAATCAACTACAAGCTTCAAACGTCGACATAAATGTACCAAGAATCCAGCAAACCCACAATTGATGAAACCCAAATTGGACGACGAAATTACAATTCAATGACCAGTCTCCATTATCAAACCAAAATTACAGCGGAAGAACACAAGGGAAGAACTGGGTATCTAAGCTTTGTCCTTTAACAACAAATTAGAGGAATGCGAGAGAGAAAAAAACGTATTTATGGAAAACCCACCTTGTGGATTGCCTTTGTCGAGGCTTTTCTCCTTCTTCTGCTTGACCTAGCCGTTCTCCTGTTGCAGAAGTCCGGCTTCCGATTCCGACAAACGAAAGAGAGCGAAAAAAAGATTTGAACTTTTCGGAAATTTTGAAAAACGAGAAGTTTTGCTTGCCCTGTGGGTACAGAATCTGTAGAGAGAGAAGTAGAGAACAGTGAAGTGGGTAGGGTTTTGAATTTTTTGGGTTGCCTCGCTCGGTTATGTATTGAAATTTGAAAGCGCGGTATTTTATGGTTATGAATGCGATCGGGATTTTGTTTTTATTCTTTATTTATTTTACTTTTTTGTTTTCATCCGGCAGCGTACAGGACAGGTGGTCCTTCTACTAATTCAAATCTTTTTTACCCCGCTGCCCTCTCAAGTCTCAACAACGCTTTGACGATCATACCCTTGAGGTTTCTCTTTCCATAATTCAAGGGTTCGTTTGAATTAGTGAATGTGATGAGAGTTTTTAAAACAATTTCTCATTATACATGATTTTAATATAAATTTGCGTATGGGAAGATGAGAGATTGTGGGCATGAGGAAATTCTAAATCTCTCACATGAGAGTTTTCAAAATAGCTAATAGGGATCAACTATTTTACAATCACTATTTTTTCTCGCTCTATTTCAAATCTTGCCCCCTCCATTTGCTCTTCCTTTCTTCTTTTTCCTTCCTTAATCTCTCTCGTTGCCATGGACATCAACTCTAAGTCAAGAAGCTTGTTACTACCATTGAAACTTGTTGTTGCCGTAGAAGCTTGTCGTCGTCGTCGAAGAAGAACTGGTTCCAGCGATTGGAAGGTGATTCTTCTATGGAGCAAATAAATCGTCCAAAGGGCAAGGGCTAGGTCCCGTTTATGATGAGCCCAAATTGGGTTTCATCAGCCCCTAGCTCCAATTGGCTATTGTTGTTTTCTAGTTAAAGATAGCGGAAATCAAATGTTGATTGTTGCTTTTTTTTTCTTTCGAGATAGTGGAAATAGGATGAAAATACATCCACATTCACATTAAACACAACCACACACAAATCATTCAATCCATACAAACATTCACATAATTGTAGCTAGGGTTTACAAAAATCCAAGTGAATAGGTAGGCTATTCCATAGCTAGGCAAAGGAAAACAAAGGAAAGGAGAGAAAGAACCATGAAGAGATGAAAATCTTTTCTCCTGGTTGCTTGAATCTCCCTTGAGAAGAAGAAACCTTCACTCCTCTAGTTTGAAATGAGCCCAATCTCCTTATTCCTCTTTTGATGACCATATCTCTATCTAGAATAGGAAGAGGAAACCCTATCTCTAACTAGAAACCCTCCCTAATCTCTATCGACCGTGACAATTGCGCTTTGGACTTTTCTTCACTTTTTTGCGCTTTTCGACCTCCAATAAACCCGAAACTGGATGGAAGATGTAATCAACTAGATTTAGCATGGCTTGATTTCGAATTTGTTTGCAGGGATAGGCGGTACTGAATGACGGGGCGATTGTCAGCGTCGTGGAGTGTAGAAGTACTCCATAGTGGGCCCCTGGGGAAGCAGCTGATGGTTGGCAGCATCTGCCTATGGAATACCGCAATTAGGTAGAACTTGATTCACCAGACGGACCTGGAGTGGCATCCCCAGGGGCTGTCCCTGATTCATGTTGTTCATCCGGTTGTTCTCGTCTCCCATGTCGTCCTCCTGGTTGGAGTCATTGCTGATCCGATTGTTAACCTGCTCTTTTGTCGTAGCCACTCTCGCTCACTACACTCGCCTAAGCTAGCGACAAGTGCGTTCTAGCTCCGGATCTAACGGTAGTAATGCTCCCGACTGGCTACATGTCATGCACTACCTACACACAACTAAGCAAGCAAACCCGTGAAGGCAAAAGTGGGACAAAGCAAAACAATCAATGCGGAAAAGAAATGCTAAAGTAACAAAAATCACGTTTCTTCAACAACCTATGTTGAGTCAACAAGCTTGATTTAGAAAATTCAATATCATAGGATATTTTGTCTTGAATATATGCTATTATGTTGAACTAACAATCTATGCAGAAATATCACAATCAATGATGAGGAAAAAGGAAACAATTCAAAGTGATTGCTTGCCCTCAAAGGAGTTACCATATCAAGCAAAAAGGGTATCAAATCAAGGAGATACTTGCCACATAAAGGACTACGAATGAAAGGAAATGAAGGCTCACATCCACTATAAATAGTAGAGTCATTTGTAGGCCAAGACAGCTTTGGCAAAGTTCCGTTTTCCCTTGTAATAGCGAAATTGTGTGATCATATTTCGTGGTGTGAATAGCTTGATATCTCGGGGGTTGAGATATTCAAGCTAGGTCGGGGTTTAGGGTAGAAAGGGTATTTGTAATTGGGACTAGTGCAAGAGTAAGAGGGGATTCTTGCTTGGGAGTTGCACTAGGTGGATTACTCTTCAATCAAGTCAAACTAAGAGTGTTGGCTTGATTGATTGAGTGGGTAGCTTAGCTTGGATTTAGCTAAGGGTTGAATAGGTGTGGAGTTGCACCTATTTGGTTCTTGACACGAAGTGTCAAGGTTGTTTCAATTTCATAGGTTAGAGAGTCTTTTATTTTAATAAAAGTTAGAGTCTCTCGTGAGATAGTGGTAACTATCTCCGGGACGTGGATGTAAAGCCATATTGGCCGAACCACGTTAAAATTGCGTGTCCCGACTCATCTCTCTCTCTATACCTTCTCTAACTGTGTTCTCTTCATCAGTGCCAACAAATTAATCACTTCAGGAGAGATTCTTGGCAAGTCCTTTTGGATTGCTCAATCAAGCTAGTGCTAATCTCTCGCTATTGAAATATGAATTAATTTGTGCATTGACCACGTCAAAAGTATCCATTATTGACCTCGCTTGGTCCAACAAGTGGTATCAGAGCCCGACTCCCTCAAAAAGATCGAAAGATCTGCGAGGAAACTGAGATCCGATATACTAAGCATGGCTAGTGGGTCATCTACAAATCATGGTTCTAATTCTACTCATATGGAGGATCTTTCATATGTTAGACCACCATGGTTTGATGGATACATCTATTCCTTTTGGAAAACATGTATGATTGTTTTCTTTAAAGGGATGGGTTTTGACTTTTGGAATGTGGTTGAGAATGGTGTGGGTGATATCAAAGATGATCCCAAACACATGGTCTAACGATGATCTAAAGAAGATGGAGTTAGATGCTAAAGCAACAAATGTCTTATATTGTGCAATATGTCCAGATGAATCTAATAAGGTGAACAGGTGCAAGACGACACATCAGATCTGGAAAACCCTGGAAGTATCACATGAAGGGACAACTGAGGTAAAAGAATCTAGGATATATCAATTGGTGCATGAATATCAAATGTTCAAAATGCACCCAGGTGAGTCTATTTCTGATATGTATGTTCGGTTTAACTTAATAGTAAGTAGACTTAGTGCGTTAGGAAAAATTTATGGTAATGCTGAACTGGTTAGGAAAATTCTTTGGTGTCTACCCAAAGAATGGATGCCTAAGAAAACTTCCATAGAAGAGGCTAAAAATATATCTACTCTTAGTATTGAAAATTTGATAGGATCTCTAATTAGTCATGAAATTGACTTAAAAGCTCAAGGTGATGAGAATAATGACAAGATAAATAAAAGTTTAGCATTCAAGGCTTGCGAGAAGAAAGTCACAAATGATGAAGGATCAGGAGATGATTTCGATCAAGGATTTGCTCTCATTTCAAAAAAATTCAAAAAGTTTTTAAAGTTAGAAAGAAAACAAGAAAGGGGTAGTTCTTTCTATTTTCGTGAGAATAATAGAAATGGTAAGGTAAAATCTTTTGATAATCAAAAGAAGAAAAGTAAAGTGGAAAGTGAGTGTGAAGATCAAGTTTTACCAAAATGTTACAAATGTGGAAAGAATGGTCATGTAAGGGCTGAATGTCCTAACAAAGGACAGAGTAGAGAAAAGACTTATGCAGTGGCTTGGAGTGGATCAGAAGATGAAAGTGAAGATAACGAAAGTGAAATACAAGGCTATATTGCGTTTTCCAACCGTGATGATGGATCCTCTTCGTCAAGATCACATGAAGATGAGGTATGTTCATCCTTTCCAACTTATGATAGTGATTGTGGTTCAAATCTTCGTAGTAGTATAGTTGAAGCATATGAAGAAATGCAAAATCATTTTGAAAACTAAAAGATAGATACTACAAGGTAAAAGAGGATTTGAAACTAAGCAAGAATGAAATTAAGGAATTAAAAGAGGATATTGCAGTATTACGTGACGAAAATCAAGTTCTGAAGAAATCAAAGGGTAAAACTCAAGAATAATGGACCTCTTGAAGAACTAGAAGATATGAGAGTTAGAAATAAGGAACTGGAAAGAATGATAATAGACTCTAGGACTAAACTTCTTGAAGAAAATACCAAGATAGAGCGATTAGAAGACAAGGAAAAGAAGTCTAAAGAAAAGGTGCAAAAACCTCATAATAAATCAATTGTGTGTGTTGAATGTAATGCTCATCGTGGAGATTACGAAAAAATTAGGTGTATGAATTGTGAAAAGAGTCACCATAGTAAAGAATGCAAGAAAAATGTGAGGTGTAGTAAATGTACTAGAAAAGGACGCACTAAACAAGAATGTCATTCAAGAATTGTATGCTATTGCTGTCATAAACAAGGACACATTAGGAGAAACTGCTACTACAACAACTATAATAGCTCATATCAATCGTATCCCAAGAAAAAGGTACCCAAGCAAGTCTGGGTACCAAAATCAACACTCTAAATATTTTGCAGGTCATTAAGAGAGTAGGAGCAAATGAATGGTATCTAGATAGCAGATGCTCTCACCATATGACGGGAAACAAGAGTCTCTTTTCAGAGTTGACTCTTCAAAAGGGAGGTAAAGTAACCTTTGGTGATAATGGTAAAGGTAGAATACTTGGAGTTGGTACGATTGGAGAGCCTCCAAATCCTACCTTCACTAAAGTGTTATTTGTTGGTAGTCTTAAGCACAACCTGTTATCTATTAGTCAATTATGTGGTACAACTAACAAAGTTGTGTTTCAACTTGAGACATGCCTTATTGAGAGGATCAAAGACAATAAACTATTATTCCTAGGAGTTAGGAAAAATAATGTCTTATGTCATTGATCTTAGTAAAAATGCTTCATTCAATGAAACCTGCTTTCTCTCTTTAGGTAAGAACAAGCAATTCCAATGGCATCAAAGACTAGGAC